TATATAAACCAATAACTAAACATCTTTATTGACGGAAAAAAAAATCTCTTTAAAACCATTTTTAAAATTTTAACGTTTAGTATATTATGTGAAGTGAATTAGATTCTATTATATCTTTTTGTGTAAAATTTCTAATACACATTTTCGAGATGCATTTTTCGTTTTACTTTGAATCGAATTTCACTTTAGAAATCGATGATAAACTCTATTCMGACAACTGACATATTATAGTCAAATTCGGTTACAATACTATCTTAGTTTTTATCGGTTTGGTAGTAAATATATTAGCTCATATATTTTATATATTGTTTTAGATCAAATTTTCTAATGCTTAACATTTTCGAATAGCTACCACTTCCGATTGATAGAAAATGTTACGAAACGTTTAAATAAATATTTGAACAACGGTCATGGATCTGTTAAATGACAACACACTTGCTGATTATTTTAGAGAGACTAGTTCCGATACATATCTACTCTCAATCCCCACACAAAAGAACAAGAAAGTTGATGACAAAAAAAAGAAGAAACAAGAAGTCAAATATATCATTTTCTTGGTGAATGGTTCACAACTTCTGTACTATATAGTTTAACAAAATAACATTAATTATCACATTGTAATATATTCTCTCGCATTTAATTGAATAGAGAACAAAATGGGTCCATAGATGTATGCAAGTATGTGGCCCGTCATGGACATAGATTTAATCATGTCGTATAAACTTATCTACATACATTTTATTTATTTATTTATTTTACTCTCTTGCGCATGAAGTAAACATTTTACGTCATAGCTTATGTCACCCAACCCTATTAAATATAAGTACTATAATATTTAAAATTTTGATGCCATATATCATAATCTCGTATAGAATATGGTTTTAAAATATTTATGTTCAACTCAAGACAAGACATCGAGAAACATGTTATATCATATTGCTCTGTTATCGCAAAATGACAACTCTGACACTCATATGGGTTGTGTTTAATTTATTTTGGGTTTATATATATGCCATGTTGTTTCTACTTTCTATTGTTAAGTTTGATGTTTGGACTTGGATGTATATAATACATGTGAGTAACAATTATTTTTTATGTGAAATCATTAGTCATACTCATATCTTGTGTTCAATAAGTCTGATGATTGTGAAAAACAGAAAGGTTTTTTATTGAAAATAAAATAGAGAGTTTAGTATGTAGTTTTGTTTCGATATCTACACAAATTAAAGAAAATGTTTTTCGTTCATAGCGTGTGGAATATCACTTCGTTTGCGTTTGTTCCACATTTGGCAATTCTTTTGCTAAAGAAGACACTTTTAGCGCCAAATATAAACCTTTGTTCTTGACAAAAAAAAAAAAAAAACCGTGATGAATCTACAATAATTAGTGGCGTTCTTAGAAAATCAACTTTTTGCCAAGCTTAAAAGCATTTATCTTTGGATTTATCGAACTTATATAAATATCTTGAATAGTTTGATGTGCAATTGATACATTGCCGTATAGAAAAAAAGTATATGTTTAGTTATACTATTCAAGATATGTGGACCACAGTGGAATATATATCCAATTAATTAACATTAGATTAAAGACAAACTCTGCGACTCTTCTTCACTAGTTCAATCATTGATATTCTTAATTATTATCGT